GGCTTGGCCCAGACCCCAGACCCCAGACCTCAGTCCCTCCCCACTCTCAAGAGATCTGGCAGCCCCACACCTTGGCGAGACCATGTTCTGGTACATGGAACCCAGAGGTGTGTCTACTGCAGTGCAGGTTGGGGCTGGGGTCCTGCTCTGCTGTACGGCAGCCTGGTGGCCAAGGCAAGCCCCGAGGGCTCTTGGAGCCTCAGGTGAGGGGCACTCAGCAGGGCGGTCAGGAGGAGGGATGACTCCTCATGTCCCGCTCAGGGCTCGGCCCACAGGAACTCCTAACAACTCTGAACCGAACCCAGAAGGCGTTTCACCTGGGTACTGTTGCGTGGCTGTGCTTGCCCCCTGCCCCATCCCTCGTCACAGTGAGGGCTCAACCTTATGCTCACTGAAGTTTCTCACAGCCAAACAGGGCTGCTCAGAACCAACAGGGAGGTGTCGTGTGAGTGCCACCACTCTGCATTTTGTCCATAAGGACAGCCCTGACTCTCCAGGATTCAACTTAAGATTTCTCAACCCAGAAGGAGATGAATTCAGCGGAAGCCAGACACACTTCGATAGTGTCGAACAAGTAACAGGAGCTCTGCAACACCTGATTGAAACTCGGCTGTGTGTTAGATGATTTTGCCCAGCGGGAGGCGAATGTTTCAGGGAGGGCTGGGCTAGGCCACGATGTCTGACAGTTATGTGTATTAAATGCTTTTTTGACTGACGGTGTTTTCAATTTACAGTGGGTTTCTCAGGACAAGCCCCATCGCAAGTCAGGGACCGTCTGTACTTTCCAAGGGAGTAAAAGATCACATGCTTCTGTCTGGGTAAAAACAGGCATCCGGGGCCAGGTGCGGTGGCTCACGCCTGTAATCCCAGCACTTTGGGAGGTCAAGGTGGGCGTAACAGCTGAGGTCAGGAGCTCAAGACCAGCCTGGCTAACATGGAGAAACCCCATCTCTACTAGAAATACAAAAGTTAGCCAGGCGTGGTGGCAGGTACCTGTAATTCCAGCTACTTTGGGGGCTGAGGCAGGAGAATCACTTGAACCCGGGAGGCGGAGGTTGCAGTGAGCCGAGACTGCACCACTGCACTCCAGCCTCGGCTACAGAGTGAGACTCTGTCTCCAAAACAAAATAAAAAATAATTAAAAAAATTAGAAAAGGCATCTGGGTATTTGACACGAGAGCAAACCTCTGTTCCCTTGACCTGCACCTGGAGGCCACCTGGGCTGCTGCTCATGCCCTTCAACCTCTGAGGAGGAAGTGCCACTCCACTGTCTGCAGAAGCTGCTGAGGTCACACCATGGGCCCCACAGTCCCTCCTCAGGCTGTGGAGGCCAGGTCCACTAGGCAGTCTCGGAGCTGGCTGATGTGGCTTCTCAGCGTGGCTCTGCCATGGGGTGCCAGGCCATTGCCCCATCCCACGCCTGGGTTTCCCATGCACGCACATCTGCACCCACCCCCAAAGGACAGGGTGGCCTCTCCATCAGTAGGAACCTAGGGCACCCAGGACAGGAACAAGTCCCTTCCAGAAACCAGCCCCCACGGACTATCAAGGGGGCCGCATGGCCACCGGCTCTGGTTGGGGCTGTGGATCCTGTTGTCTGTCACCAAGTGTGGGTGAGGCACTGGGCTAATGGCACGGTGTGGCCAGCAAGATGCCACCTCCTGAGTGTGAGGCCTGAACAGCCCATGAGAGGCAAGCAAGGCCAAGGGGCCCACACGGCTGAGGCTTCCCTGTCCTGGGCCAAGGCCTCCAAGGTGAGCAGTTTGGGACACCTATAAAACAAATGCTGCTGAGCGAGTGCCTGTCCCCAGAGACCTTCAACGGCTCCCCCAGTCCAAGCCAGCACCCCAGAGGCCCTCCACAGCCCCAGCAGCCCCCAGGCTCTGGCTCCGCAAGAACGGTGTGGGGTGGTAGCCCTGCCTTGCCTGTGGTCCTGACGGAGGGTCAGTGTGACCCTGTGGTGATGACTCTGGCACCCGGCATCTAATGAGCACTAAGCAGTTACCATGTGCCCCACCTCATCCTCCACTGGCCATGCGCACTGGGGTGCTGGTTCCAGCCCTGAACTGTCCACTCTCCCCTGCAGGCCTCTCCTCCTCCACTCCAGGCCCTTTCCCACACGTCCTGAGCCTCAGCCGCTGCACACTGTGGCCCCTGCCCATGATCCTGGGGACACACCCTCACAGCCTCCTGGACATGTCTATCTGAGCTTGGGAGTCAGAGACCCAGAGGGGCACATTCCGTGCCCAAGCCTGGGTGAGGGACACGCCTGTGGTGTCCGTTTCATCTGGACCCTGGAGGCCACCACTGCCGCCGTGGGGTGTTGGAGGGATTACACTGGATGGTGGCCAGTTGTGTACACGGGGAAGGCTGGGTGCAGGTGGGATGGGGTCCCAGGGGCAGGCCTGGCTTATGGTGGGTGCCAGGAAAACCCTGGCTCCGTGGACCAGATCACCTTGGCCAAGACCCACTAGGTCCCTGTCACATGCCTGGGGTCAGCTGCTCCCCCAGGCTGGTGTCCCTGTGACAGCCCCACAGTTCCAAGGGCCACCCTGACCTGTGTCTCCTCTTACCCAGGCCCAGCCCCTCTCCTGTCCCCTATGCTGTTCTCTTTCCTCTGTTACTCCCCATCCCCTCTCTCCTCTGTCCTGCCCCTCCTCCCTGAGTCCCCCAGGAGCCTCCCCCCACTCCCCACCTGTGTCCTGCCCCACTCTCTGCTCGGCTGGTAGCCTGGCCCTGCGTGCAGACACAAAGGCCCCGGGGCAGCGTCTGCAGAGTCTGGCGGGCAAGGCCGACCTGTAAACATGCCGGGACCCAGATGGCAGAGGGGTCCGGGCCAGACGCCGGCTGCTCTGCTTGCACACAGCAGCCTGGGGTCCTCTCTACATAGCCTCGGGAGGTGGGCCTGCCCCTGGCCATGGCAACAGTGGAAGGGGGAGGATGCCAGTCCTGCCCAACCCACATGGCCGCATGGATGCCCCAGGAGGCGAGAATCGTCTGCGACAGTCTGCACTCGGGGGCAGGCTTGCCAGCGGAGGGGCCCCAGGCTGGCTGCAGCCTCTGAGCACTTCCCAGTATGACAGGCCTGCCCCCAGCCATGGCCACAAGACAGCCATGACAGACAGCAGCAGGCAGGTGACGCCTTACCTGCTGAGCCCTCAGCAGACACTGTAAATTGCCCCCTAGTCCCTGGTCCCTCAGGCTGCCCTCGGCCTCCTCTCCCAGGGCCCTTGACACAGGATCCTCCCAGGGCCCTTGACACAGGATCCTTGCAAACAGGAGCTTCACTCAACTCAGGCAGGAGGGAGCCCAAAAGACGGGGCCAGACCTGGACCAAAGCCGAGTTCTTGGAGCCCTGGTCCCTCAGCTGCAGACAGAGGACAGTAGGGGTGGGGAGGGCTGAGGCTGGGCCAGACCCAGCAGAGCCCATGTGAACATGCAGGAGCATCTGCCGGGGTCCTCGGCCCCCAGAGGTCTGTGACTGGTGCACGTACAAGGGCGTGGTGTGTGTGGGCCTGGTGGAGGGTGGAGTCAGGAGGGAGGCGACTGGGGATCCCCAGTTTTCATCAACACTCAAAAACTGTACTCACCTGAGGGTGGACACAGTCCCTTGACCTTTAGGCGTCACCTGGCGCGGTGGCTAAGAGTGGAAGACCAGGAAGGAAAGGGAAATGCTAATGGAGTTTTTATGGTGGAGCCCCCGGGGTATGGGGCGCTCTTCCCGCATCTCTTCCCTGTCGACTCTGGTCCCCACTGCCCTAAGGCTGCCGTGAGGCCTGGGCCCAGCTCAGGGGCTGCCCGAAGCCCTGGGTGCCCACAGGCCACCTGGACAGCGAGGAGGCGGGGTGGGGAGAGTCCCCGTTGCCAGGCAGGGCTGTGGACAGCAGGCCAGGGACCCTGTGCTCCACTCCCTCACTCCTGGGCCTGGAGTGGGGTCTCTTCTACCCATCAGGGTCAGGCTGAATCCCTCGGGTACTCTGGGCGGGCAGACCAGGCTGCAAGGTGGGGCCTGGGGGCTTTGCTGGGGTTTCGCCCTCTCTGCCAGACCACCCATTTGCAGGCTGCTTCTGAGTGGAGTGAGCCTTTCCTGCCCGGGGGAGGGTGAACACGAAACTACCTGGGCCGTGAGGTCCCGGAGGGTCTTCCCGCGTCCACAATGGACTCCTGACGTCTTGGGTGGTACTCTGGGGTGGGACCACGATCTGCAAGACACAAGGAGACCAGGAAGTCAGCTCAGGAGGTCTGGTAGCTGAAGACTGGGAGGGAGTCAGGGTGGCCCCTCCCTCCACCCCTCCGGGACCCCTCGTAAGCTCCTGCAGGTGGGCCTGACCCAGCAATCCCTGAGGTTAAGAACTTTCCTGGGAGGCTAAGGGCCGCGAGGAGGACCTCGACCTCTGCCTCTGCTCCTGCCTGATGCACATGCCCAAAAGCAAACCCCCCCGCTGGCTCCTGCACACCCCACCGTGAACCTGGATGTCCTCTTGTCCAGAGGAAGGACCAGTGGGGCTTGGGGTGCCGGCTTCCGGCAGAGTGCGGTCTCTCCCTCTCAGTGCTCAAGGAAGCACCCCCCCCCACTCATCCCTGCCTTGGCGCCTGCTGTTCCCTGGGGCTGGTGTGTTCTCCCACCATCACAGGCCCAACTCCTACCCATCCTTTAGGTCACCTTGTCCAGGGAGCCCTCCTGAGTCAGGGATCGCCCCATCTCTAGCATTGAACTGGGGTCCCATGCACGGCAGAAACCATGTTTTACGTGGCTTTGTCCCTGGGCCTGGCACAAGGTACCTGGCACCCAGGATGTCAGGAAGTGTCCCACTCATCCCCCTCCTACTCATCTCCTTCCCCACTCATCCCCCTCCCCACTCATCCCCCTCCCCACTCATCCCCCTCCCCACTCATCTCCTTCCCCACTCATCCCCTCCCCACTCATCCCCCTCCCCACTCATCCCCCTCCCCACTCATCCCCCTCCCCACTCATCCCCCTCCCCACTCATCCCCCTCCCCACTCATCCCCCTCCCCACTCATCCTCTCACTCCTGGAATGACACCCAACATCTGGGACTTACAAGGTACAAATGGGACTTTGGTTCTTTCCCAAGAGGTGACTCAAGTGGGAGACCCCCCAAGACTGACTGAGGGAGGACATCAAGGCCCAGGAGCTGGCATTCACCCGGGGTGACCCTGAGGCCCGCTCCTTCCCTCCCCACCCTGCCTCCACTCAGGCCTGCAGCTGGGTACCGCTCGCTATTGGTGAGGACTTGAGGGCAAACCGGAGCCATGGCTGGGGTTCTGCGGGGCCTCAGGCCAGACTCAGGTGGGGTGCTGAGCCCTGAGTGGGGGTGGGAGGAAGGAGGGGTTCAGGTCCTGAAGCAGGAGGGCACTGCACAGCCCTGCACAGCTGCACACCTTGGACACCAATGCCCCCGGAGACCGCTTTCTCTCTCATGCCCCCAGAACCCTCTCCAGGCCGAGGCTTCCCGGCTCCTGTGGAACCTGGGTTGCAAGAATGCTTGGCTGGCTGGGTCGGCCTAATGTGGCCATCCCCAAACCCTATCACCTGAGGATGGGGGCCACTCTCCTCTTCGACAGCTGAGAGTGTGACTGATGCTGGTTCAGGGAGGAGGGTGGGGACAGGAGTCCCAGGTAGCTGCTAACTGGCTAGAGCTGCTCCTTCTCAGCAGCACTGCTGGCCTCGAGTTGGTTTCATCAGGCCTCCGAGGAGCGGGACCTGCTGGTAGTGTCCCACGATGTGCTCAGTCACACACAGGGGGAGCCTGCAGCCAGCCCCCTATCCCAACCCTCTTCCCATCCCACAAAGGCTGTGCCACAATCAGCCCATCTCTGAAAATGGGAACAGGAGCCTGATGTCCCCAGGTGGGCAGTCCATGGTGACAATGTCCATGCCCACGGAGGGCTGGGAGGGGTACGGAGGGCTGGGAGGGGTCCCACAGAAGCCACAGGTGACAGATAGCGAGGTGAGGTCAGCACAGGCCCAGGTGCTCCCACCTCTCACACAGCCTGCAGGGCCTGCTATGGCACATCCTGTCCTAACCCTTAGGAGAGGGCCCTGAGGTCACAGAGCCCATCACCAGGATGGCCGGGACTCCCTCTCCACCTCTCCCACCAGCAGCCTGGGCCAAAATAAAAGCCCCCACCCTGGGGACCAGTGTACCGTGATATCCAATCTAATAACCGTGGATCGCCCTGCCTGCCACCCACAGAGATGCCCCTCTGCAGCCTGGTTAGGAAATCCCCTGTGCCCACCCTTTTCTACTGCCCTGGGCTGGGACCACCCCAGTGCTCTGACCTGGAGCAGATGGGACAGCAGTTCTAGGGCGCCCAGGAAAGTACCACAGACTGGGGCTCCCGAAACAGCACAGGCCCGGCGGGACATGCCCCTGCTCAGGTTCACAGAGCTGCCACCAGGCAGGCCCAGCCTTTTTGCAGCTAGCCCAATTTAATGTATCTCAAACCCACGTTTTTTCTTTTTTTTTGAGACGGAGTTTTGCTCTTGTTACCCAGGCTGGAGTACAATGGCGTGATCTCGGCTCACTGCAACCTCTACCTCCAGGGTTCAAGCAATTCTCCTGCCTCAGCCTCCCGAGTAGCTGGGATTACAGGCATGCGCCACCATGCCCAGCTAATTTTTATATTTTTAGTAGAGACGGGGTTTCACCTTGTTGACCAGGATGGTCTCGATCTCTTGACCTCGTGATCCACCTGCCTCAGCCTCCCAAAGTGCTGGGATTACAGGCATGAGCCCAGCCTGAAACCCACGTTAACATCAGAAGTCAGACTTCAGATTATGAGAGCTAGGGGAGGGGAGGGGAGCCGAGACAAGCCCGTTCTCCCGGGTGGTGAGTGGAGAGAGACAGTGAGCTGCCGCGGCAGTGCCCGAACCCCTGCCTGCCCACCGCCACTCACCAGCGGTCTCCCTCCTCTCTGCCCGGTTTTCGTCACTGGGTTCTTGAGATGAACGAAGGCTTCATTACCTGCCTACGGAGACTTTAAAAATCTCCGGAAAATGCACTGCTCCCTCGGGCTGCCTGAGCCTCCCAAGGCTGTCCCTGCCCTGAGCCCCACACCCTAGGTGTGTGGAACAGGGCCAGCCTAGGCCATCCAGGCTGGTGCTAAACCATTAGAATCAACACTGGGCTGGGAAAAATGTCCCCGAGGCCAGTCCCCAGCCGCATCCCAGCCCCCTCCCTGCCCGGGTCCACGAGCACCCCTAGGTCCAACTGCAGGGTCCGTTCCCATCTCAGCTCTGTCCTGGTCATGCTGCACAAGCTCCTTTCCCTCTCTGGATCTCACTCTCTCTGTAAGATGGGGACAATGACACCCACCTTCTCGGATTTACACCAGGCAAGACGACGCTCCTTGCCTGGGCATGGTGGGACTGAGTGGACAGCAGCCTCCACTCTTAATACCCCAGGGAGCTTTGAGTAAATGGGAGAAGTCACTCCAGGCTGCCCTGTCTAGAGAAATTCCTCCCCTGTCTGTCTTCATACAACTGACCACCAGCCTGGGCCTGTGGCAGGAGGGGCCTGGGAGGAGGCTCCAGAGGCCAGCTGGGAGATGTGGCAATAAATGTGGCCAGCAGGACCTGAGACTGTGCTGGAGGCAGCCCAGGAGGCTCTGAGTGCCCTGCAGGGACCCCAACGTTGGCCAAGCTGCAGGGCCTAGGCCCGGGGGCCAGGACTAGCCAGGGACTCAGTCTCATCTTATCTTCGGCATTGAACTTGGTCCCTCCCTCTCCAAGGTCACACGTAGGAGAAACATCCTCCCTGCACGGTCAGGCACACCAAGTGCCCCTTAATCTACATGTGAAGATGCTGTGGTAAGGACTGAAGTCTGGCCTGGGTAATGCTGTCAGATACCCAAGGCCTCAAAAGAACCCCAAGCAGGCCGGGCACGGTGGCTCACGCCTGTAATCCTACCACTTTGAGAGGCTGAGGCAGCGGATCACCTGAGGTCAGGAGTTCAAGACCAGCCTGACCAACACGGTGAAACCTCATCTCTACTAAAAATATAAAAATTAGCTGACCACGGTGGTGTGTGCCTGTAATCTCAGCTACTCAGGAGGCTGAGGCAGAATTGCTTGAACCCTGGAGGTGGCCATGTCAGTGAGCTGAGATCATGCCACTGCACTCCAGCCTGGATGACAGAGCTAGAATTAGTCTCAAAACAAACAAACAAAAAAACCCAACAATTACAAAAAAACCCAAGCAGTTGGCAGAGGTCAAAAACACGTGGCAAAGTTGCAGGCGGTCAGGTGCCCCAGCTTCCTTGCATAAACCAGAGCTGCATCCCCTTCTCAGCCACTTCTCTTGGGTCTAAACGGCTCCAGTAGGGACCCTGGGGGTCTGATGGCTACCAAGGCGGCTGGTGTGTTCAGGGCACAGGGGGAGTTCAAATCTCCAAGAACGTGGCATCTACTGGCAGAGCTGCCACCCCTGGAAGAAGCACAGGCTCTCGAGCCACACACATGTTGCATAGAACCTTCTAGGCTCTTCAGCCTTCAAGAAGTGGGCCTCTCCTCTCTGAGCCCCAGCTTTTTGTCTTTTTTTATTTTTGAGATGGAGTTTCATTCTTGTTGCCCAGGCTGGAGTGCAATGGCTAGACCCTGGCTCATTGCAACCTCCACCTCCTGAGTTCAAGCGATTCTCCTGCCTCAGCCTCCCAAGCACCTGGGATTACAGGCATGTGCCAATGCACCCTGTAGATTACAGGAATGTGCCAATGCATGTCTTTTTAGTAGAGACGGGGTTTCTCCATGTTGGTCAGCCTGGTCTTGAACTCCTGACCTCAGGTGATCCGCCCGCCTCGGCCTCCCAAAGTGCTGGGATTACAGGCGTGAGCCACCAGCCCGGCTTCCAGCTTTGTATCTTAGAGGCAGCTATTTACACCTACTCTGTGATCTGGCGCCACAGTAAAGAGAAAATGAACAGACATGAAATTCCCAGCGGCTTGCTGGGCACACAGTAGGTGCTGACACGAGGCAGCACCAACGACTGCTAATTACCAAGTTGGGTCTGGAAAAGCAAGGCACGGCGACACGTGGCGGTTCACACACCCACCTGGGGCCTCTGTTCCGTTAGGGTGTGTCCGAGACACTGCCAGTATCTGCAGTGGCAAAATGACGGGCCCGAAGTTCTAGATGAGAGAACTGAGTCCTGCCTTCTTTACAGATGCTGTTTTCAGACCCCCCGGGGTCTGAAATTCTAACTGCTGCATTCTAACCAGTACCCGAGGCTACACGGGATGGAGTCTGCCCCAAAGTGGCAGCAAAGTTGCTCTCATCAGCCACGCCAAACGTGGGGAGCTGGCCTCGCAGCGCCCCTGTGCACCCCAATCTCTAGAACATCCCTTCCTTCCCCTTCAATCAGCTCTGCTCCTTTTAAATGGTGGAGATAAAATGTGCCCGGCAGACGGGTGCTGCCACCCCATGACCTGCTGAGCATTTTGCAAATGTCTCTCTTTTAGGGGAGAACATGCTGTGATAATTTGGCCAGGCTAGTGTCGCTCTGGTCAGATGATAAGTTTTGTAACAAACATTTTTTGCCCGTTCCAGAAGGAATGGGTGCTCATTCAACAAACTTATGGAAAACTTAGAGAGAAAACGTGGCAGCAAACACCAATAACCCCGCGCCAGGTCCGGCCCGTAGCACCCTGGCCTGTGGGGGTTCCCATGTGCGTGTGGACGTGAGCTGCCTCCACCCGCCTGCAGAGCCTCTCCCATTGTGAACGGCCACAGCAGAGTCAGGCAAGTCATGTTATCACAACTCCTCAATGAGCACAGCTATTGTCTCAAGCTTTCCACATTTAAAGATGCACTGCGGCCGGCGCGTGAGCACAGTGGCTCACGCCTGTAATCCCAGTACTTTGGGAGGCTGAGGTGGGTGGATCACCTGAGGTTAGGAGTTCAAGACTAGCTGGCCAACATGGAGAAACCCCGTCTCTACTAAAAATACAAAAAAATTAGCTGGTCATGGTGGCGGTTGCTGTAATCCCAGCTACTCAGGAGGCTGAGGCAGGAGAATCGCTTAAACTCGGGAGATGGAGGTTGCAGTGAGCCAGGATCGTGCCACTGTATTCCAGCCTGGGTGACAAAGTGAGACGCTGTCTCAAAAAAATTTTTTTAAGTTAAGAACAAAAAAAAAAATTAAAACTAAAGAGGCACTGCACAAACATCTCTGTAATAAATCTCTCCTCTGTCCTTCAAGGGAGGCCCCCAGATGTGAGATCCCGGGTTGAAGCCCAAGAATGTTTTCATGCCCAAGGCAGCCATTCCACACCTGGACCCTCAGAACCTTCTAGAGACCCTCCACATGTGAGAGGTCGGGGTCAGTGAGATTGCGGGAAGCTGAGGCTCAGAGCGGGGGAGTGGCTGGCCCAAGATCACATGGCCATGTGGGACCCAGGCCCACTCGTTGATCAGCCGTGAGCTCCCCAAGACACACTTTAAAAGCCTTCCCTGAACTGCCTCTGACCCTCTGGACAAAGATGCCAGGCCCCAGGCGGGTGTGTGGTATCTACACGCTTGTTCATCGCACCTGAGAAGGTGCAACATGGGAAGACAAGGCTGTGGTGGCTGCGACGGTTCCTTATGGAGGGACCAGGTGAGCCAAGGACCCAGCTGCCAGGAGGGGGCAGGTGAGAGGGCCCAGCAGTGTGTGGGGGTGCTTCCTGGAGGAAGAGGATGTTCGTGAGCTGCGATGCAGAAGAGGGACTGTGCCACTGCCCACGTGAATGCACCACTGCCCACGTGACACCTGACGGGTCAATGGGTCCCCGCCCTCCACACCTAGCAGTCGGAGACGAACAGGCCCTGTAACCCTTCTGGGCCACCTCTGTTTGTGAATATTCCCCAGTGAAACCCCCAAGCAGTGGCCTCAGTTTCCCTGTAGCCTGGCGCACACAGCTGCCCTTACCCCACAGCCGGCGGGACGGTCCCCCACCAGCCTGCCTGCTGAGTGCAAAGATGCTGTTTTTGATGAAGTGTGGCTTCACAACCTCTCGGATCAGTCCTGAAGGGGGAGCTGATTGAGTGGAGGTGGAAAAATAAACTTGCCGGGGCAATGCCACCGCTTAGTAGCTTCTGACCTGCCACTGAGCACAGGCAGGCAGGTCATGGCTTTCTTCTGATTCATTTACTCATAAAATGTTCCCCAAAGCCTGTCCCCAGTCAGGCTAGTACCAGGCTTCAGGGCCCACAGCAGGGCAATGGGTGAGCAGAGAGCAGGGAGGGCTTCCAGGAGGAGGTGACACAAGGCCACATCTGGAGAGGTCGAGGATGGTGGTATGGAGAAGGTCGGGGTTGGCTGTTGAGGGTCTCAAGAGTCTCTTGAAGGGGACACTGGACCTTGGCCAGGAGAAGGACAGGAGCCCTGAATGGCAGGAGATAGGGCAGGATGGGCAGAGGCCTGTTTCTTGACCATCGCCACTACCACTCTGCCCTCGTCCCTTCTTCTAAGGAGGGACAAGGGCCTCCCCAGCCCTTCCCATCTGAGGCCACTGAATGTGGCCATGGCAGAGAGAAAGGCCTAGGATATGGGCCGGTGGCCAGGCTGGCTCAGGCTCTGCTGTTTAGAGGGTCGCACGAGGCTTGGCCTCCTAGACCTGGGCTTCCTGGCCCATAAGATGGGGCCGGTGATCCATCAAGGTTCTGTGAGATGGCTCCGATGACAGATGTCCGTGCCCAGCACACAGAGGAGCCATGCCACCTGCCCAGGGACTGTTGAGGACCCAGATCCTGGAGACAGGGCAGAGCATGGGTGCTGGGCCTACCGGTGGCCTCTGTCTTCCCCGTGGCCAAATCTCCAGGGCTCGGGGCACTGGGAGGGAGGGGACAGGGAGCTGCCAGGAGCGGCCTGCCTGGCTGTAACTCACCCGCCACGCTTAATAATCATGTGGGCACTTAAGCTCCTCTGTCTTCTCTTCCCCTTTCCCTGGGGAAATTTCCTTCATTTCCTACATTATCCCGGGCTCCCTGAATGTCTAAATCAAGCCCCGGCCAGGGCTCTGTGGTGACGCCCTCGGCCTACTTTTATTGGGAGGGTGGGATGGGGGTTGCAAAGGCAGGGTGGGGGGGCACAAAGGCGGGGTGGGGGGCGCAAAGCTTGGGTGGGGGGGGGCGCAAATGTGGTGGCCATCTGGATGTAGTCACTCAAACCAAGGTTTCATTCTTGCCCAGGACAGAAAACTGAAAACGCCACCAAGCCCACCCTTTGAGCTACAGTGACGATGTCCCCAGGGCCCTGCAGCTGCATCCCCTGTCACTGGGACCAGTCAGCAAAGCCCGGTGGCTTCAGGCAGGAGGCAGAGGCAGAAGCTGAGTGGGGAGCTGACTCAGCCCCTTGGTTGAGATGAAGAGGAAACGCCACCTCTCGGGCTACCTGGGACACCAGGGCAGGGTGACTGTCACCCTGGAGACCAGCCAGCAGCCACTCCAGGTGGGCCTGACCACAGTTAGCCTGCCCCTGCTCTCCCATCATGGAGCTGGGCTCTCTGGGATGTGTGGTCTGCCTTGCTCATGACAAGGATACTGGGTGGACACAGTTCTGGTGCCATCTCCTGCCATTTATCCAGCTCCAATCCTGCCTCTCATCCGGTCAAACTCTCACCCTAACTAGGAGGTTAAGGTTACTAGCCCCATTTTACAGATGAAGATACTGAGGCAGGGGGAGGCAAAGCAACCTGCCCATCCCGTGGGCTGTTCACTCCCTGCTGCCAAGAAGCTCTGCCACCACCTCCTGGGCTCTGCCCCTCGTCTGTGAGTGGGAAACATGTTCCCAGGCTGGTGCCGGCACCCACAAGGCCCAGGGGAGGCCAACGCGCAACACCACCCCAGGCAGCAGGAGCTGGGAGGTCCCATGGGGAGAGTCAAGCCGGCCATTGGCAGGCCAGGCAAAAGGCCCCAGCACCATCACCACCTCCCCGCTGGAGACGCCCGACTCCCAAGAGCTGGATGAGAAAGGCACCACCAGGACATCGTCTGGGCTGCGGCCACCTTGCTGCTGACCCTAACAGCCCAGCACCCCCAGGTCTGGCCTGGTGAGCGCTTGCAACTCAGCCACGAGGTGGTGGCAGCACCTTCTCAGGCCTCCCTGGGCTCCCTGGGCTCCCTGGGGATGAGTCGGCCAGGTTTTTAAAAGCTGGGTCTCATTTTCTGCCCACATTTCTGACCTCCGGAAACCTCTCAGGGAGTGTTCCCGAGCCCTTCGGATTCCGGTGCTGGCACACTTCCTGCCTCCGCTCACTGTGTTCACAGCCAGGTCACTGGGTGCTTGGTTGACGGGTACTGCTGCCCAGGCTTCTGACTGCGCCTTCTGTGCTGCATGTCCGTGGGCTCTGGCTGGCTCTTGACCCCTCAAACAATCATCTCTGGTCAAATTCTATGACTCCTTCCCTCAAAAAAAACTCTTTGCAAACAAACAAGAACGCCAGTTCTGAGAACCTGGCAGTGCCAGTGCTCCTGCGGCTTCATTTTCTCTTTCTCTTTCTTTCTCAGCATTGCAAGGAACTCATGAAATAGTTCCACCCTCTCATTTTACAGATGGGTAAACTGAGGCCCAGAGAGAGGAAGGGGCTTATTCAAGGGCCGTCAGTGATTCTACGGCCCAGACAGATGGGAGCCCAAGGCCCTGACTCGGACACAGGGCTGAGTCCTCAACACCAGAAGCCAGCAGCCACTGGTTTCAACAAGAAAAGACAGGGGAGTGGCCATGGCACTGGGCATCAGGTGCTGCTGGTGGGTGTTGGCCAGGGCGGGCAGGGCCCAGACTGCTGGGTTCCCTGGCACCAAACGACTGGTGCTCTGCGAATGTGAGAAGAAACCCCCAGGCGAAGCCTGGAACTTCAGGGGCAGAGCTCAGGGAAAGCAGGCCGGCTCTAATGGAAACCAGTCAGCGGGCCAAATGCAGCAGGAGCCCCCCCACCGTGGTTTCCATGGGGACGGAGCCCGGGAGGCGGAGCTCTGGCATGGCTGCTGCAGCAGATGTGGCCTGTACAGGGCCGGCATGGGGCGGTGCCTGGCAGTGGGGCCCTGGGACGTGGCAGGCCTGAGGGCTGGACACAGGAGCTCTGCAGCTGCAGCCTCGGAAGTCAGCTTTGGGAAGGAGCCGGGGACTGTAGGGCTGTCACCTCTGGGAGGCCTCCTGGATTCCTAGGATGTTCCATGCTAACTTCTTGGCCCCGTCTGGTACTGGCCTCTATCTGGTCTCCGTTTGGTGCCTGCGTTTGCTGAGAACACGAAGCCTGCCTCTCCATGAGGATGCCATGCCTGTGGGCCAGGTGCAGGCAGCGCAGGGCTTAGACTGTGGGTCTGGGCTCCAGTCCCTCTGGCCAAGGCCCCAGTGCTCCCCCAGGTCCGCTCTATCCCATCACTCAATGGTGCTGTTGGACCTCTTCCCATGGCCGTCCCAGGGCCTGGCACATGATGGGTTCCATAGCCTCTCTGAGCTAATCCTCTGCAAAATGCAGTGAGCTCAGCACTACTCCGAAACACAAGAAAACCCGTGGGCTCAGGGCCACGCGTGCTGCAGCACACGAAGATGATAGGTCATTCAGGAGTGTGAACCACGCCGATGGATGGGGTGGGGTCTCCAGAAGGTTCTTGTGCCCCTGCCCTGATGTGGTCCCCATCTGCCCTGGCGGGGCTGCTATCCTGTGAGCCCATCCTGGTCTGGCGCATGGTATCGGGGGCACAATCTCATACGGTGCCTGCCTCTCAGCCGCAAAACACCAAGAACAAGGACGATTGCGGCTCCCTCCTTACCGCCGCCTGTGGCCACACTGTGTGCAGTCCGATGCCTGCCAGCACACCAGGACTTGAGGGCACAGAGCCGGAGAGTGGCAGGTTGCCCTGGAGCCCAGCACAGTCCAAACCAGCATGCCCTGAATGCAGGCGCAATGGCCACTTAGCCAGAGAGGTCTCAGGGCCTCAGAGCCAGAGTGACCCATGCCCCCAGTACAATTCTGGCTCTCCCTGGGGCAGAAGGATTCCAAGCTGAAGGAATGGTCCTTCCTCGTGCTGGGGGTCCAGAGAGAACCGGACAAGGCCAGCATCCAAGAGAGGCTGAAGAGAAACAGGGATCCGTGTGGTTCTGTGCAGGCGCAGGTGTGGGAGGACCTGGCTTAGGGAGTAGCTGCTGGCCCTGTTACTCTGCGGAGATCCCTCGGCCTCCCTGAACCTTAGTCTCCTCATGTAGACAACCATTAACACCCACACCCCACTAGACTGGAACGTCCACGCAGACAGGGGCCCGTCTGTCCTGTTTCCTCCGTATTCTAGCCCAAGAACAGCACGGTGACATGCTGGCTCCGGATGGCTGTCGTAATGAAATGGAATTGGCAGATGACATTTAAAAATGGACATTTATAAAAATGGATGGAAAGCACCTGGTCCGGGGTCTGGCACTGAGTAGGTACTCAGCAAAGCTTGACACCCCCGCCCTGAGGGTGTCAAGGCATCCAGCATGCACCGAACGCAGCCCCAACTTTCTCCCCTGGACAAAAGCAGGGGGTTTCCGCCACCCAGGATCCCCTCTGCTCCTGCCCTGCTGGCCCCGTCACCCTGGCAGATGGATACACTGCGGAGGCCACATCTTTTCCTCCACGGCACCTGGCCAAGGCTGTGGCCGCTGTGGACCGGCGTGGCCTGCCACATTGCTTGGCCCCAGGAGATCCCATTTGCAAGTTGCTTCCACAATGTGGGTGCCTTGGGCCAACCCCCGTGGATTTGAGTCATTTGAATCCATCGTAGGAGACAGCTCACCCCAGTGCTGGAGGCCTGAGCCCCCTTCGGCCCACCCACCAGGTGCTGGGAGTCTCCACAAGTGCGGGCATCGCGCAACTTACTATCTCCAGCTGAGGGGACCGTCTCCACGCCGCCCAGGCTTCCGAGCAAGGCCACGCGGACTTTAAAGAGCGTCCGCTGCAAGGTCACAGGCGCCAGTGTCCGCTCATCCGAACCTTGAAGCACCAGGCCCAGGTGGAGTCCTCCTTCCATGGAGTTGAAAGAAGCCTCCCGGGTGGAAGGCCCGGGGTGGGATCCCTCCACCCACGTCTGGCCGGAAGCGTGGGCACGCCCACTCCAGGAATCCCAGGGCGGGGCCCGGGCTCCCAGGAAATGGGGCCAGAGGTTCCCTGGCAGGCACTGGCGCAACCCGGCTGCCTTCCCAGTCCCCGCCTCCTGCGGATTCCTTCTGGGGTTTTGGGAACGGCTGGCCCAGCCCACACCCTGAACCCAGCCCGCCTAGAAGCCTGGAAACCCAGAGGTTCACACAAGCCGGTGCTGGGACCCTTCTCCAAGACCACCCGAAACTGCGGCACACCTGGCATCTGGGTGGCTGCTGGATAACGCCATCCTGTTAAGGTCATGGGAAGCCAGTGGGGAGGGTTTGAAATGGGCTAAGAGGGCCCACCGCAGAGCCCGGGCCTCCCGTCCCGTCTTCCTAAGGCCACGGTGCGGGAAACGCCAACAGACCAAGGGCTCCCAGATGAGGATCTCATGTGGCGCCTGCAACCGTCTATTGAGGCGGAGGCTGGAAGCCCCATTTTAAAGACAAAGCTGAGGCCTTGTGGTAAGAACCACTTTTATCAAGGTCTGTTTCATCTGAAGGCGTGCTGGGCACTTACGCCGTCTCATCGGACCCAGTCCCTGCTATGCTCCCTATTAGGAAATGGGGCCACGAAACTCCCCGTGCCCCGGCACGCAGGCACAGGTGTGTGCATGTGGGCAGACACACAGGCCTGCCTGGGAAGGCCTGGCCAGCTGGCTGCTTCTTGGAGAAAGGCCGCTAGCACGCTGACCGGCCCACAGAGGCCTTTGGGGCCGCTCCCTCCCTGGGCCCGCCTTCCCGGTCCTGTTCTGGGCCTGCCCACGCCGCCATTTCCTCTCTGGGGCCTGCAGGCCTCACTTCCACTCCTCCCAGTCTGCAAATGGCCGGCGCCCAGAACCGCCTGTCCACATAAGGAAGCAGCAGTGCGTCTGGCCAGGGCCCAGTGTGCAGGCCACCTAGCCAGGGCCGCTCAGCAGTGCCGAGTGCCCATGAGAAGCCCATGCCTGGATAGCCAGTCCACCCCCATCGGCTTCGGCTAGCCCCGGGCTGGGGAAAACCACCCTTCACAGGCATCCCTGGGGCCTCGGAGGCCCATGGCCCAGTCATCCTCAGGGGTGGGCTGAGGGCTCCGTGGCCCACTTAGACAAACGCACCTCCAAACACCAGTTCACGTCTTCTGACGCTGCTGACCTGCCAGGAGTGTCAGCCAGTGGAGAAACGAGAGGGCGCCTCTACACGCATGCAAACGTTACACGCACATGCCTGTGTGCAAGCACGCTGTCCACACCCGGGGCAGCACGCACGCCAGTGCGGAAACACTCACCGGTGGATGCTGTGGCAGAACCTGGGCTTTGGAGGGTGGCAGGGCTGGGTTCAAGTCCTGGCCCAACCCTGATCAGCTGATTGAACCTTGGGGAACCCACTTAGCCTCTCCGAGGTTTGCTGCCTCCCCTGGTGGAACGGAGGTGATGATCATGCCCCACTGCAGGCATCGTCTGAGTCTCAGAAATAAGGCAAGGAAGCAGTAGCATTTATGGGGTGCTCACCATGATCCCAGCTTTCCATGGGTTCAGAAAGTTGACTCTTACTGCCTCCATTTTACAGATAAGGAAATGAGGCTGGAGAGGTGAAATCACTTGCCCTGGATCAACACAGCCCCAAATCAAAGACGACCCGATCTGAACCCGGGCTTCGGGTCCCAAGGCCACTGCTCTTCTGAACACAGGTGCCAGGGCACGCAGCGGGAATGGGAATAGCAGCAGGGAGTGCTGCTGTTACTATTACAGCCATCGCCATGCCCACGGCTGCTTAGAGACTCTGTGGCCCAAAGGCTGGGGCCGTTTCACGTGGCCTCATCTTTTAGAGTGCCCAGACCTGGACCAGATCCCAGCTATGGAGGCAGGAGTCGACAGGCTCAAAGACCAGACTTGGAAAAGAAGATGTGGTTTAAAACTGCCAGACAATGCCTGTAATCCCAGCACTCTGGGAGGCCGAGGCGGGTGGATCACAAGGTTAAGAGATCGAGACCATCCTGGTCAACAAGGAGAAACCCCGTTTCTACTAAAAATACAAAAATTAGCTGGGCATGGTGGTGCGCGCCTGTAGTCCCAGCTACTCGGGAGGCTGAGGTGGGAGAATCGCTTGAACCCAGGATGAGGAGGTTGCGGTGAGCCGAGATCACACCACTGCACTCCAGCCTGGGTGACACAGTGAGATGACTCCATGTCAAAAAATAATAATAATAAGGCCAGGTGGCCGGGCGCGGTGGCTCACGCCTGTAATCCCAGCACTTTGGGAGGCCGAGGCGGGTGGATCACGAGGTCAAGAGATCGAGACCATCCTGGTCAACAAGGTGAAACCCCGTCTCTACTAAAAATACAAAAAATTAGCTGGGCATGGTGGCGCGTGCCTGTAATCCCAGCTACTCAGGAGGCTGAGGCAGGAGAATTGCCTGAACCCAGGAGGTGGAGGTTGCGGTGAGCCGAGATCGCGCCATTGCACTCCAGCCTGGGTAACAAGAGTGAAACTCCATCTCAAAACAAAACAAAACAAAACAAAAAAGCTGCCGGACCGCAGAGCAGGCTCCCGAGCAGCTCCGGTGAATCTCATCAACTTTTTACTTTTCCTATTAGTTGCTAACATCTCCGCCAACAGGTCCATCCCCGAAAGTAAACAGGCTGCAACAAAGTGCTTCTATGAACAAACGGACGCGGTGGCTGGAGCTGGCGGGAGGCAACACCGGAGGCGCACCCTTCCCTCCTCCCGGCCACCGCCACTGAGGCAGGAACGTGGGAACTGGTCTCAGCCGGCGAGGAACTGCAGAGCCTGAATCCGGAATTTAGAAACACAGAGGCAAACACACATAAGGGAAAAGAAAGAAGCCTTCACTGATTGCACCGTAACATGAGCATATTTGCAAAATAAACAGTTATCATCATTTGCAGATTATTGTGGCTGTAAAGGCTGCTCTGCCCTCCAGGTTGATACAAACCGATAAATTCTGCCCTTTGCTATCTTGGTGAGATAATTTTTTTTAAGTTTATGGCTACTCTGTATTTTACCTGCTGCATTTCTTTGCTGGTGGAGTTTGGATGTAAATGTATCTTTAGAGCATCCTAAATATAAATTATCTGATTTTTCATAAAGGCCTCAAAACAATATGTAACTCAACATAGAACAGTTAGAGATTTAACACCTTCCCTATAGATATTAGTAAGATACTAAAATTGTTAAGATGTTAAAATGAAAATCAAAAGATAGTCAAAACCACAGCCACGAGTCCGAATTTAAAACTTGTGTTCCACGGCCTGTGCTGCAGCAGAAGAGGAAAATTGGTCATTAATTAAAACACTGATGGGCCTTTGACACAGGGCATGTGGGGTCTTAAAAGATGCAGACCAAAAATTCAATTAAAGTTTAATGAAGGTGATGATCGCTCTCTGCCGAATTTTCCAAGGGCTGAGAAGATCGTTGAATAAGTCTTGTTTCTAAACACAAATGCAACTTGTTTATTTTGACCCCAGTTCTTCGAAATTGTCGACTCCACAATTGAAATATGCTGTGTGTTCCAACAAGTACCCGGCAGCCGTAATGACAGACCAGCCCATCTGTGCTGCGAGAATGTATAATTTCAGTCTATAGTGGAATTTATATAGAAGCGATGATGTGAATAGTGCTTTGCGTGGTACTTTCTTCAAAAAAAAATCCTGCCGAGAAGCGCTGGGAGCCATGGAGAATGCTGAGATTTTGGCCTGATTTTTTTAAAAAGCAGAATCCATAGCATTTTACTGATTTTGAGGTTAGAGGGCGAGGGTCGAAAGTTATCCAAGTTAAAAGCTTAGATGATAGTTGATCACATGCAACGGTCCCAGGTGCCCGAAGTGTACACGGGACAGCGAGTTTCTCAAGCATGTGAAAAACACTAGGTAAATGTAACTGCACTGGCAATACTAATTTAGAATGAAAATGTTTCTTTATGTGAATTAACTGATTTTTCTGCTACTTGCCCCTATCTTGTCCAAAAAAAAAAACCCAAAAAACAAAAACAATAAATTAATGATCAGGAAATCTGACCATCTCTCAATCCAGGATTTAGGATTAAGGGTCTATTTGCCAACATTAATTATACACAAAAATGAGTAGCCAGCTATTAAACATGGAAATTCTTCTAAAATGCTGAACTCCCACTTTTCCCCTGCCCATTCCCTATCTCCTTGACTCTTTTGCTTTTAAATTGTATTATGCTTTTTTTTCTATTACTTTTATTTTGCCACCAGTGTTTTATTTGATGCTTGCTAAATATTTGGGTGGCACGAATCCTCCAGCTTGCAGCAGAATGTGGCTGTCATGTCAAGAAATGTTTTAATTATCTCTGCTATATATGCCTGTTTCTGCAGCCCCAACCCCTCCAGTATCGACTGCTGGCTCATCTAAGAACAAAAGCAGCCGCTGAGAGCCCTCGTGTTAGCTGAGCTCCGTTTTCAGATTTGGTGCTGTCTGCTGAGGCCGGCCGCTCAGACCGAGACTGGCGCACGCAGGGCCCACGCACCTCCGAACTGGGAAAACAAAGATGGATTTCCATGGGAGTTTTCCTCTCAGTGCCATTTTAGAACTTTCCGGGTCTGATTTTCCATTTTCCATAAATCAAGACCCTGGCTCCCCTCAAGGGTGGGGAACCAGGCCGCATCCAAGGATGCTTTTGTTAGCCTGCCAGAGCATGGAGGTGGCCACGGAGCAGTGCTCTGCAAAGCCCACCTCTGAATCAAAAGGGTCAGTGCTTCTGGAGGGCCAGGGACCAAGGGACACCCAGGCAGCCACTGAGCCCAGCTCCTGGACAGCGGTGGCGAGGTGGCGGGGGACACAAAGGTCTTTGAGGGACTCTCAGCCCTGCCGGCCACGTTTCAGGCCCTGGACAAGCTGGGTGTCTCCCCCAGCAGCTCTGCAGGTGAGGACCCCCTGGCATGGGATCCAGGACATGGGCAGGCCACGAGGCCACTCAGGCCCCCCTGAGGGTCTGTGTAGCGGACAGTGCCCACACGTGCACACTCCACATGCAGTCTGCGGGCAGGGCGGTAACAAGACCGGCACAGCACTCTCAGGTGGAACCCCCACGTTGAAACAAGTGCTCGAAAACAAAGCCCGCAGCAACCGAAAATATTTTTCCCTATGCTGAGCTGAGGCCAAAAGGAGCTTGCTTTCTTTTTCTTTTTTTTTTCCCAAAACTAAAATGAAAGGGAGAAAGAACTAGATCCCTAAACTGTGGACATGGAAACATTAAAGATGCCGGACAACATAAAAGGGGCTCTGTTTCTAGATGCGAAGTCCTCCCTCCCGGGGGCCGGCCTGGCCGTGCCTGCCGATGAGTTTGCTGGGAGGAGCCGTGGATGGTCCTGGTGGTTTTCCCTATGCCAGTCCTGGTGCCGTCAAAAATTAAAATAAAATAATAATAATGAGGCCTCCGCACAAACTGACACGGCCAGGCAGGCAGGAGTAGGCCGTGGCTGTTAATGCTTCCCCAGGCATTTGTTCCCACCATAATGGAAGACGCAGCGACTGTGAAATGATAAACATTCATTTTTATTGTGATTTCTAAAGCCTGTAGCTTTGAATCTCGAAAGCAAATGGGCTTGGCTCCTGCATTTTCCCTGCAGTTTTTGGCAGGGCATCCTTCTCGGAAGATGGAGGGCTCTGAAACAGAATTCCGAGTTTGGGGAACCAATTAGAGGGAGGACACATAACAGGCACCGGGGCACAAGATGGCAGCACCCTCGGCTCGTCTTCACGACAGAAGGAAAGAAGGTGACTTACCCGAGGTGCCGGAAGATGGAGGCGCCTTCTCCAAAGCCAGGAAGTGAAAATGACATCCCCGGGCCTGGCCCATCACCCGGGCGGGGGAGGAGGGCAGGTCCCGCCCGCCAGCAGGCTGTCTGGTGCCAGCCCTGGCCGCAGGCCTGTGGGCCCCCTGGTCTCCGGCCGCCGCTGTCCTTCGGTCCAGTGGGCCCTGCTGGCACAGGGGGCAGGGCTGCCAGGAGCCATGTGGCGCTAGGGGAAGGCCCCACTGCCAGCCCCGGAGTACGAGGAAAATGCTACTTTTGTCTCCTGCTCTCATCTGGCACTGGCTGCCCGGGGAGGGGGGGCAGAGGCGGCCGCTGCAGCTCGGCCCCGCCCACCGGGAATTTTTGAAAGATGCTCGTGGGTGCGGGAGGATGGCAGACGTGGCAGTGGCGGGTGGGCCGGGCCCCCAAACCCACCACCAAAAAAGGAGGAGGCTGGCCAGGCGGGAGAGGGAGGAGGAAGCCAGCGTATGGCCACTCAGTCGCCGGCCAGGGAGGATATGGGGAGCGGCCGCCCAGGCCTGGCCAAGACGCCAGCACCCTGTGGACGGGCAGCACTGACTGGGCGCCATGCTGTGGGCGCCTGCCTGGCCGGGCTGCTCCGAGGGGCTGGGCGTCCAGGCGGCCTGGCTCGCTCCAGGGATAGAGGCCACATTGTTCCCACGCCGGGCTCAGCAGGCAGCAGCCAGTGCCCTGGCCGTTTCCCCAGGGTGAGGCCAGAGACCCCACCCTGAAAGCTGCCCTGGCTGGGGCCCTTGCAGTGAACCGTCTCCTAACGCCCCTAGAGGCTGGCGCTGCTATAGCTGGGAGTCCAGGCTGCAGCTACAGTGGCCCTGTGTCCGACTAGCCACTTCATCATGGGCAAGCCTGCCTCAGTTTCCCCATCTATAGAATGAAAGGGGATAATGGCTCCTCCCGCTCAGGGCTGCTGGAGTGGCAGAATTAACAACATGCACAGAGCCCCAAGCCCCATCCAAGCACCCAGTGGGCGCTTGATACTGAGGGGGCTGAGGGTGGCCAGGCAGCCACAGCGGACAGGGTGCCAGGGGCGGAGTCCAGGCCCATCAGCCCCCACTCTCGCACCCTCACTAATCTTTGATTTCACCAAAACCAAACCTTGCCACCACGTCAGGGAAACATCCCAGTCCTCTTGCCCTACAACTGGGGTTGGCAGGCCTGGGGTTTCACTGTGGCTCTTTGATCTGGAGATAAAATACTGGACCCCATTGCTCTCTCCTGCAGGCATCAGGCTGGGTCTGCTGGGCCACACGTTTGTCCAGCTCTCCCCTGTCGCCCTCTGTGACCGGGAGCTGCAGCAGTGACCACAGGGAGCAACAAGGCTGGGAGTGTGGGAAGGGGCTCCCCAGGAAGCGGGGCTACCCACCCCATGGCTGTCCGGGTGCAGGCAGGGCCAGCCCTACACTAGAGGGGACGGCGTGGAGTGACCACCGTCTGGCTCTGAGCCTGACTCCTGGGCGTACGGGACACATCAGGGCCTTTCTGTCAATAAGGACTTGAGATAAAGAGCGGTCTGAGTGCACTGTGAGAGCCCAGGGGACCGTGAGAGCCTCCTGCAGTGGACAGGAGCTGCCTGCCGCCCGGATTCTGTTTGATATTAACACTGCTTTACGCCTGCTCAGAGCGGGTCCTGCTGAAAGCCAAAAAAAACGGGGTGGGGGTGAGTGAGCAAGGAGGAAGCTGCCCAGGAGGAGCCCTCAGTCCTGGGCTCTGGTCTCACTCACGCACATGGCCACGTGACCAGCTCGCCAGCTGATGCCAGAGACAAAGCAGGTAGGATTCCGATGCCATGCGCCCCACCAGGAACGCTGGGAATTCCATTCCAGCAGCGGCTTGGCCTGGCTGCCAAGAGCCTGGCCCTGGGAGGGAAGGGTCCCCCATGCTCCACAGCATGGGGCCTGCCCTGCCAGCCAGCAACATCAGGAAGCCACTCAAGATGGGATGGCAACTGTAAGACCCACAGGGGCATGGCAGAGGAGGCAGGGCCTGGGTGACGGCTGCAGGAGGAGGTGCCCGCCCCCCAACCCACAGGACTGCCTCAACCAGAAGTGGCCACTGCTGTGCCCAGCTGGCTGCCCAGGAGATAATGGCCTCTAGAGCAGGCCTACCGGCCATCATGGGAGTCAGGCCACAAGGGCGGTGGGCCTGGACTCCAGCCGGAATCAGGCCCTTCTCAGATGGAGCTCCAGGCAGCAAGGCTAGGGCACCATTGTACTGTATGGGGCCAGAGTCCCCGGCATGCCCTTCTCCTGGCAGTGTGGGGAGGGCCCCACAGGTGACACCCATGTAGGCCCACATGCTCAGTACACACGTGCCCCTGCAGGCCAGAACCCACGCGGTGGGGCAGGGGGGCTCTGGGGACAAGCAACCCCCACCCAATTTGCCACAGCTGCCCTTAGCGTCAAAATACACGGAAAACTGGAGCGCCGGCACCATCATTTTATTATAATTTAAAATGTAATTATAAAAGGCTGATTTGAATGTAAATATCTCTCTTAAACACGTGAAAGGGGATTCTAAATTTAAGAGCCCCAAATCAGCAGGTAAATATTTCAGCGAAATGCTCTTCCTGCCATCTGAAATGCCAGAACTAAGGAAAGGGCGTTCCGCAGGAAAAAAAAAAAAACCCAAACCCGGTTTTAGAAAGCCAAAAGCAAAAGGGACGATTCTTTTTTAATCTGGAGGGAAAATTCTATCACTGAATTTAAAAAAAAAAATTGTTTAGCCTTTTTACTGTGTGGCTTTCATGCACAAATTTGGTTAATGGCAAACACCGGTCCTATTTTACAACACCAACCGGTGACCCGGCGGTCACATCTCTACTCAGAAACCTCCTTGGCGCTAGCTGGACAGTGGGCACAGCCACTCTCTCCACACGGGTTCCTGGGTGGTCAAAAAGAAGAGACTCCCCAGTCCAGATGCCAACGAGAAGCTTCCCATCCCCAATTTTTGTTTTACTTTCAAACTCCCTCCCACCACGCACAAAAAAGTGACTAAGAACCTGGTTTGGGGGTTTTTCTGCCCATTGTCACAAGATTTCATTCTTTTTCATGATTTTTATATTACCAATTCTCCCTATTGCCTCAGAGGCTCCTGGACACCCTGAAAGGGAGCTCCCTTCTGAGTGGGCTAATGTCGAGGGCGACAGGGGCCATGCCGAGAAGTTCTCACATTGGAAAAAAATAAAACGTGACAGCCGACTGACAAAAAATGAAACCTCATTTCTGAAGCCAGATATTAGAATGAGCCAAGAAAGCTTGGGTGACCCTGGTCCCCCACCGGACCAGGGACACTCCCTCATCTGTCCTCCTTCAAGGCCTTGCTGGGGTGTCCAGACAGGTCCCCCTAAGGGGCTGGGTGTCCCTGGCCGATGAGCCACCTCAGCCTTCCCAAACCTCCCCCTTCCGATGCTTCGCTTCAGGCCCTGGCACGGCCCACCCCTCCCAAAGCTGCTAACCGGAGCCTGGGCTCTGGCCTGGCTTCCCGGGCAGCTCCTCCGACACCTCGCAGAACGGGCCGGGGGGACAGGTCGTGCGTAGGCCTGGGGTGAAATTCTCTTCATTCTATCAATTCGGAAAATATTCACAGAGCCCTAACTCTGGGCCACGTTTGTCAGAGTTACAAAAACACCCTCTCCAGCCCGGAAGGGTGTTTGCTCGTGTCGGGCTTCACCAAGTCGGGGCAGACTCTCCCGCAACCTACGGGCCACTCCCAAGTTCATCTGAGAACGGAATTTGGGGAAGAGCAGACCCTGGAAAACCACAGCTACTGGCCCCAATCGCCCTCTCGATGGCCCCTCCCTGAGCCCTGTGGGGACAGAGCTTTCCTCTTCCAGGCTCTATTTTTCCTCACTTCCATGTTGTGACCCAGCTAGCTAAGGCCCTGGCTAAGGCCGACTGGGCCTGGCAGAGGGAGGCCCCATCTGCCCACGACCCCAAACCTGGCCATCTCTCCAGTACTTGCAAGGGCAGCCCTGCGGCTCTTAAAAATAAATCGCAGAAGAAAACAAAATGAACTCATGCAAGTTTAACCTCCGCTCAACAAAGAGAGCCAGATGTGCCCACAAAAACTGTTCAGGAACCATGGGGCAAGAGGCTTTCTCTTTTTCTTCTCTAAATCTCTGTCCCCAACTACATGTCTGGGGCCTGCCATTCCCGGACACTCGAGCTCCATGGACTGTCCCAGCCCAGGGAACGCTGGGCGGCCCCGAAAATAAATATTTCCCATGAAAGATCCATTGTCTCTGCTTGGAGACAATTGTTGCTTTTTCTCCCTGCTCAGCTCTACAGCATCAGAAAGCATGACCGACGCCATTTAGGGCTCTCTCTTATTCCAACAAGATGTTTTCAGCAAGGACGATCTTGCTGGGTCTTCCTGAATGACCAGCTAGGAGGGAAAATTCTCCAAAGCAAGCACTTCGGTTAACGTGCCAGGCCAAAGAACAATTTGCTCTTCAGAGTGGTGAAGCCGTCCCACCAAATCACCAGCCAGGACGCTGGTGGCCGCTGCGGCCGCGGTGGGCCCTGTGTCAGGACGTCCTGCCTCTGAAGGAGGGGGCACAAAGGTCAGACCCCAGGGCCAGCACCCACACGTGCCTTCTGTCCTGCCCCTGGGAAGGAATGCCTCCTCTGTCAGCACTTGCCAGGTCCCCAAGGTGACCCTGGCCTCATCCTGTGTACCCAATGTGATGTGTAAGACGCATCTGGATGTCACTCACACCAAGCCCCTGTGACGAGGGAAGCGCTGGCTCTGTGAGTTCCCGCCAGTCTACCTTGGAGGTAACATCAAGGTCCACTTTTACCCCCACCTGTAGGGCCGGAAGAGGAAACTTCTTGGTTCATTTTCTGGTGAGACCAAAGTTGGATTCTCTGTTACTTCGAATACCACATAATATAATACATAAAATAATAGTAGTGGTAAGTAAATAATAACTCAACAAACACAGGGATTATTATTGACAACAGTACGAATGCCAATAGCCGGAGCCATTTATGCCCCGCTCCCCGACAACGTGCTGGAAGGGTGCTTTATCAAAACAGCATCTGAAGCCTCCGAGGTGGGTTCATACTCTTCCCACTTTACAGCTCAGAGTCCAGGCTCAGAGGAGCTCAGAGGTGCCAGGTTCACCCAGGGAGGGGCAGGGGCAAACTGCAGCCCAGGCTCTCAGGCTGCAGCGTGCTAGAGTCTTCTCCTCTCTCCCAAAACATTCAGAGAAACTTCAAGACCCAAAGACAACACCCCAGGGAAGCATGGTGGCTTTACCAAGTTTCTTGCCTGGCCTGAAAGGACCCCTCCCTTGCTAGAGACCGTCCTCCAGCACAGGCATGCACCTACACCACACGAGAGGTTCCCCTGGACACCCGGCCAGGCAGGGTGCCCATCTGGGTGGGCAGAGCCCTTCCCAGTCCCTCCCGGGTCTCACAGTCTACCTTCTGGTCAGGCCCAGTCCATGCTGGGCCGGGACAGGCCCCAGTGCCCTTTAGGGGGCCGGAGGGATCGAGACAGTTTCACACAGACAGCCTGACCCGGCCGGGTGCAAAGCACACAACAGAAAGTAACCCTGCTGCAAAGCCCCACCCCGTTCCTGGGGGCACGGCAAACTGCTGGCCTGCACCTGCTCAGGCGCCGGGCATGAGGACCTCACCAATGCAGAGGGGCGCTGCCCAGGCAGAAACCAGCGTGTCCCCGCCAGCACCCTGCAGACCCTTCTCACCCAGGAGCGTCTGGGGCCCAGTGAGGCGCCAGCGCAGGCAGGGGACCATCCTGGGGCAGGCTCTGGTTTAAAACAAAACAAGGAAAACCAAGGCCTGTCCTTCCACCAGCCCACACCACAGTCCCTGTGGCCCTGGCCCCCTGCTTCCTATGTTCTTGATGTGAAATCTACAAGCAATAAAGACAGACAAGCACCAGTTTCATTTTCAGAGCCTTCTCCTTTGTGTGTGTGCCCTCAAAAAATGAATAGTGCCAAGATGGGAGAGCCAACACCGCATGGGAGCCCCTGGTGGGACCCCGAGACCCCATCAGGCTGAGCTGGCTTGAGGAACACGGGCAAAGGCAGGACGGGGCCTCGCCAGGGCCTCCGTGCCCGGCGCCGGCCCCACTGTTGGCTGCAGAATCTTGACCTCATCCCATTTCATGGACCGGGGGCACACTGTGTGGCAGAAGACGGGGGCACACTGTGTGGCAGGAGACAGGGCTACAGGGCTTCGGAGCTTTGACGAATAGCAGCCCTCGCTCGGTGGCCCTGGAGACTGCCTCCTCCGACGCTCAGGCCTTTCCCTGGCTCGCCCCGTGTCTGGCCCCTTGAGCAGGAGAGCCGGACACTGCTCATTTGGGGGACACCCTGCAACCTCAGCAGAGCGCCACACCATGCCTGCCCTCCACGCCGTGTTCCCAGTCTCCTGTGGCCTCGGGGAAAATGTCTTCAGCATTTTACAGGCAAGGCCCTAGTGGAACTTGAGCTTCTTCTAATTACCAACCTCATCACCACCAATGCCATGCCAAGCAGAAGCTCCCGGCTAGCACGGCTGCCTTCTGCAGCGGCACCCCGATTCTGAGATCGCCCCCAAATGTCCCATCCCGGGTTTCATGTCTGCTAACTGCCTCTGATAAAGTCATAAATAAAAACTCAAAATGGGGCAAGGGGGCTGTGGGGGAGGCAGCCCAGAAAAAAGACACCCAAGGGTAGTTCTTCCAGCACAGAGGTAAAATTTCCGCCTCCAGCTGTGGCTGGACTGGACTGAAAAGGTCCCCTCAGTCCTTGGGGTTCGTGCGGGGGGCACTAGGCAGCCGAAAGGGAGGGACGCATGAGGCAAGCGTGGAGTATCCGGGCCTCTGTCCATGTCCCGGAAACACAACCTCCAAGAGCCAGCTGATGGCCCTGGGGTGTTATGGAAACAGGCCCCCCATTATTTTGTGGTGAAAGCACCCAGCAAGGTTATCCAAACCACATCAATAAGGTGGGAGAGTAGGCGAGAAGCTGTACCTGTGGCACAATCAGAGTTAAAAGCAAGCTCAATCCCCCACTGTTTGGGGTTTCATTTTAACCCTGGCCCTGCACACACGGACAAACACGTATTTTAAAACCCCGAAGAGCTAGAACCATGAACTAAAATAACATGAAACTATTGCTGGCCTGCAGGCTGCCTCGGCTTTTGAAACCCAACTTTGAAAAAATCTCCGCATTACCTTAAAACCCTATGATCACAACAAGCAAGCATTCCTTCATCCCTTTCTTGCTCCCCACAAACTCCCCAGGGCCCCTGGCTGGGCCTGTGTGTGCGGTACCTATAAAGGGGCATTTATTACAAAAAGTTATGAGTTGTTTTTTGTTTTTATGCCACCGTAAATAGCAGCTGCCACACCAGGGCCTTTCACTGAACCGGCCCAAATGGCGCCAACGCCGAACCGAGGGTCCCCTCTTAAATCATCTCTCCCCAAGTGTCTGACCGGGAGGGAAAAAATAAGCAGCGTGGGTTTAGAAAGTAAATGAAATATTGCAATTTTCCAAGAAAGAATTGTAGCCTCCCAGTAACCTTTCCAAACACATCACACACACACAAAATTCTAAAAACAGATGTTTTCTCTTTTCTTTCTATTGTGTTTAAGATGTCTGCTAACGCTTATTTTAGGTGTTCAGCAAAATTCTTTCTGGCAAATAGCCTGCACACCTGAGATTAGAAGCTGTGCTTCACAAATTCCGAGATCCAGATGAAGGCCGAGTGGAGTTCTTGCAAGCTGGTGCGGCTTTGGGTTCAAGAGCAACCTCCTCGGTGCGTTCCCTGGTCTGCGGAAGGCCTGCCCTATGCAAGGGTCCCTCTTAGAGATCCCTTCATTAATATTTAAATACTCACTAAGTAGCGAAAGTGAGAAATGCACTTACCGTTCTCGGGAGTCGCCGTGAACCCGATGGTGACCTGGAGCGCGCACAGGTCGACAGCCCTGTCCTTGCGGGAAGACCGCGCCTGGCCGCCGGCGCCGCGCTCCCGTGCCCAGAGCTGCACAGGCCCTCAGCCAGCGGTCCTAAGTCCTGGGTTCCAAACGCTTCTCCTCTTCCCGCATCGAAGCGGCGGACGGCAGAGCAGTGCCAGTTCCCGCAACTCTTCTCAGGGTGTGACGGCTCTGGACCGCCGCTGGCGAAGCGCACGGCCCAGGCCCCACTTTCTCAGCCCCGCGCTGCTCCTTCCCTTCGGGCTCCGGCTTCCCGGAGCTTAGCGACCGGACTGCGCCGGAGAGTGGCCCGCAGGACCCGGTCACCGCGTCCGCGCGCGCCGCAAGGGACCTTTGTCCCGGACGAAAACGAAAGCGCGCCGGCCCGGGGGCGCCCACGCCCTGCCGCGGAGAGCCCGGCCGGCGCGCCGCGCGACTTTCTCCAAGTTCACGTGCATTCCGAGCGGGCGTCGCGGGCCAGGACTTGCAGAGCCGGGCCGTCGGGCGGGCGGCGGGTTGCAGGCGGGCTTGGGGACGGCCCGGCGGGGCGGGCCGGGGCACAATGGGCACCGCCGGGCGGGCGGGCGGGCGCGGGGACAGCGTGGGCCCGGCCGCCGAGAGGCCGCTCGTCTGGCGCTGCCAGGGCGCCGAATGCTGCGGCGGCTTGGCACAGACGCGCCGCGCGCCCGGTGCATGCTAATGGCCGGCGGCCGCGCCATGAATTATTCAGCAGCGGCGCGGAGAGGGCGAGCGCAGCGCGGAGGGCGACCCGGGCCGCGCGTCCCCCGCCGCTGCGAAGCGACCGCGGCGACTTCCCAAACTTTCCCGGGTCGGCACCGAGGATGCGGCCCCCGCGGCGCCGCCGTCCCCGCCCGAGCGCGCCGGCCGCGCTTCCCCCGTTGCCGCCTATTTTATGTCTTTTGTCTCGGAGTTGGCACCTGTCCCAGAGAGCGCGTTTCCCTGCCCACCCCTTCGCCGCCGGATCGTAGCGGGGGAGGGAGTACGGGGGACCCAGGGAGGAGGGGACGGGGAAAGCAAGGCGCCTGCGGGCCCCGCAGCCCGCGGAGACCGCCGGAGAACGGCGGCGGTGCCCGCGCTCCCGGGCACCCCTGTTCTGCGGGAAGGTCGGGGCTGCAACCGCGCCCGGAATACCAACGAGGCCGCTCGCGGCCCCCGCCGTGCCCGCTGCGGGTGAGGACCGGGCGCCGCCCCTCCTGGGTTCCCCCCTCCGCCGCCCCCCACCCGGGACAGCGCGCGCGGGCGGGGCGGGCGGCGCGAGCTGCGGATTCGCCGCCCGGGCCCCGCGCCTCGCCCCGCAGCCCCGCGTGCGCGTCCCCGCGGGCACGCCGCCCCGGGCGCTCCCCGCCAGCGCGCCCCCGCTCTGCGGCCCCTCCCGCTGCCCGCCCGGGGCAGGGGCACCGCGCCGCGGGGACCCAGAGTCCTTCCGTTTCGCGCCCCGGTGCCCGCGCGGCCGAGGCGGGGGGGCGGGCGCGAGCTCCCGGCCTGGCCCACCCCCGCCGCCCTGGCACCGAGGCGGCTGCTGGGGCGCGCTCGGCGACTGCGCTCCAAGGCTCCGGCTGCCATGATTGCGGGCAGTGGGTCGCGCGCGCACGCTCGGGCCCGGCTCGGGGACCCCCGGCGGACCGACGGTCCCTGAAATCCCGGCAGCCTGGTGCCCGCAGCCCCGAGCGCGCCGCTGACGGTGGCCAGGCTCTCTGGACCCTTCCCCGTGGGGACAGTGTGCGCCGCGGAGCTCTCGACGCGGCCCCGGGACAGCGCTCGGGGCCGACGGTGGCAGCGGGCTTCCCCTAGGGCGGAGTGCGGACACAGGCGACCCGGCGGCGGCTTTCCGGACACCTCCAGAGCGAGGGGTGCCCAGAGGGGTGGGAGTCGGGACCCGGCCCACGGGCGGGCCGGCGAAGGCGGGGGTCAGCGCACAGTGCCTGGAGATGTAAGAGGGGCGTGCAAGGTGCCTGAGCAGTTGGGGGGTCGTTCAAGGTGCCCAGGGAGGCGTGGGGGGGGCACGGTGCCCGGAGCTGCTGCCCAGCTCCGAGCGCGCTCTCTTCCTTCCCGGTGGAAACAACTTCCTGCGCCCCCCCCTCCCCGACTCAGGGCACAGCAGCTTCGGGGAGAAGTTCAAGGCCCCAGCTTTGCTCTCTTGGAGCCCGATGGCGACACTGCTGGCCCCAGGCCACACGGTTCCTTCCCAGGCCCTCCTGGCGGTGGGGACCGGCGGGCCTCCAGGGTCCTGACACGGGTTAGAATGCCACGGAGGCCGCGGCGTCTTTTCCCACCCGCTCCACGGAGGCGCCTAAGTGGTTTCCAAACCGCAGAGGGGCCGACCTGGGCCTCCGGTTCTCGGGGACGCACGCGGACACAGAGTCACTGTTCGCAGACCCCGTTCCCCTGCCCGGGCATGCCCTGGCTCTGAGCCGCATGGATCTGACTGTCCCCAGACGCCTGCGATGGCTCGTTGACGGCCAGGGTCCGAGCGAAACAAGGCCTCCCGAGTCCCATCCCAATGTCTCTCTGTGCCTGTCTCCCCCCACCACCCACCCACCACCCCCCCTCCCGCTGCCGGCCTTGGCATTCTAACTAGTGTCCCTTGACGTCACATCTCGCCATTTCTGCCAACCAATTGAAACTTGCTCGTTGTCATAAAAATATATATACTTTTTATGCCATTGGTAAATTCAAAAGTTCCCCGTGTGCCCTGCTTCCCAGGAAACTTCATTTCACGTTGGATTAGACTACCCAGGAGGGCAAAGCTGGGCTGGGGCAGCTGGGCCACTCTGCCAGGGCCTCGCTGCCCACTAAGCTGCCTTCCACGGCTCCCTAGACCACCATGATTGTGGCTTTGAATTGTGCCAGTCACCCTGATACACACACCACTGCCTTCACCCCATGACACCCAGAATTTGTGGTGGGGGAGGAAACTCAGGGTATGTTAAGAAACCTTCCCAATTGCTTTCCTGGGAGTTTGGGGTTGGGGGTTGCCTCTTCTTTCTAGAAGCTAAAAGAATGCTAAGGATAGCTTTATTCTTACTTTTTTTTTTTCCTGTGGGAAAACTCAGTTTTAGAAAATGGAGTAGAAATGTTTACCAGTTAATCTTTTCAGTGGAATCCAGACCAACTTTCACTTTCCACAGCTGCCTGGTGTCTTCACTGTTGAGTGGGTTGCCCTCTTTTTCTGAGGAAGGGCCTATGTCTCCCCATCATCTCCCAGCTCCAAGGGCTGTGGGGCCCAAGCTGGAAGCTCAGGAGCTCTGTGCTTCCCCAGAAAAGGGCACAGCTCTCCCGCAGGCTGAGACTCAGACATGCCACCTTCTAGCAATACAGCAGGGGAAATCAATCCTGTCTAGCTCAGTGCTTTATAATTTTCTTTCTTCACTATTAAAATTTTCAGCCCCAAATAGGAAGTGTGGGGTAAGAACGCACATTCCCACAGGATGAGTCTGTGCCCAGCAGTGCCCAAAGCCCCTCATATGCCACTGCAGCCCCTCCTAACCCGGCCACACCAAGGCAGAATTCAACCACTAACTGCTCTATAAACTCCCCCTGTACCCCATCGTTACTCTATGGTTCAACTACTTTAAAAAAACATACTACAGATATTTTGTGGTTTAGCAAGTTTAGGGACTTCAGAAGAAAATGCTTTAGAAACTGGGCTGAGGGCAGAGATCTAAACATCATCAGCGCCAGGCCTTTCAATATGGAGTCCTGTTTTTCCAAAATAATGAGCACGCCGGTAACTACCAAATGGGGATTCTGTACATAAATATATGGTTACTATTCTCAATAAAACTGGTCTCAAGGGCAAACTCTAGAAACGATGCATTCCTCTGAGATACACATCCAAGTGAAAAAGGAGGAAAAGCCTGCATCCCAATAACCACACTATAATCTATTTATAATCACTTTCCTAAACACTATAAATATTATAGCTAATGTGATATATGTTTTGTGATTAAATGGGTGGATTAAAACATTGAATTAAAAAAGCCACAAAGAAAAAGAGATTATCTTCTATTATGCCACTTACAACTTTTGTTCCATTGGCACAAATACGAATTTGACAAGTGTATCATCAGTGAGCGCACTGACTAAATGCCAGGATATCAGCTTTGTAATTTTCACCTGAAATCACTGTATAATCACACTGGCTTGCTAACCTTTTTATTAACTGATTTTTTTTTTCTTGCTCTCAAACCGTAATAAGTTAATTTAATGGCCTTTTTCCCCCTTTCCATTTTTATTTGGTAAAGCAAGAAATCAGATAAGTCAGAACAATATTCACGAACACACAATCTTTTAAAAAAAATCCCCCCTGTACTTGGCAAGAATTTACATATAATTTGATTGCAAATTCGGAAATCAAATGCCGCTTTATTCGGTGAAAATAATAGCACTCAGGTAGTTCCACTGGATACTATTCAGGTTAGATTGTTTTTTGTCTATTTGCCATCATATTATTTAAAGCAAATAATAATATTTTTTAAAGTATGCTCAAATTATCAACAAGAAAACCTGGAAAATATACACTGCTGATGAGTATTACCATGGACAAGTTTCCAGGAAGAAAAGCCTGGTTTTCGCCTGCGGGCCACAGCCGTGCCTGAGGTCACACGTTTGAAAGTAAGGTCCAGGGAGGCTGCCGCCGTACTCGGAAGTTTACAGTATCAGGCTTCTACAGTGATTTTTTTCCTGATTTCTCCCCAGATCTGCCTAATGGGAATGCAGTCGGCTACTTCCTGCTGCCTTGCTCTCTCCGCCAGCCCCTGGCCCACAGTCCGGCCTCAGAAGGCTGGGTGGGGGGTGGGGGGTGGTGGGGGGGATGCTCTGGTTTAGTTTCTTTTTTCTCAACGGATCGACATTTAATAGTTTAGATTTTTCAGTATCCAAGACATTATGGAGACGTCATAAACAGATGCATTTAATCTAATTAAA